ACTCATGGAATTGCAGATAAGATGCTTTTGGAAAGTCTCTACCTAGAGCCGGAAGAGGGGTTACCTTATAAAAGTGAGGCAAACCCCACTAATGGAACTTAAGTGGGGACTTGCGTTGTGCCATGACGTTAACTAAGGCGCTACTTGGGAGGTAACACAAGACCCCTTATCACTTTATTTTTGCTTTAAGAAATAATGGTGTGTTGTTTGTGTAGGTCTAAGTGGGAAAGTTGTTGAAAAATGTAGATTGGCGAGCAAAAAGGTCCAGTTGGCACATCGCCGAAGAGGTCGACGACCTCGACCCAGACCGCCGTTGGACTCAAGATAATTTTACATTGGAGTCTGTAAAAGTCGGCAAGCCCAGGAAATTATTGGCGAATCGCCAACCTGGTCGGCGATCCTGATCTAATCTGTCGTTTGGATCCCCACATCCTATAATACTCAGCGAGGTAAGTGACCACTCGGAATGTCGCCGAGTGGGTTGGCGAGCACGACTAATGTCACCGAATGGGCGCAAACTGAACAGTTTAAAAGGACCAAGATTCTTAAAATTTGAAATTCTTCACTTTCCCTCATTCTTAAACCTCCCAAACTCGCACCAAGGTAGTATTTTCCTTATTTTATGCATTTTACTAGTATTTTATTTGATTGATTTGCGCTCAGAGTTGGATTTCTTTGCCGCCTAGCTTTCCAATCACGTTTTAATCCGTACAAAAGGTTGGTTTCCAAATTCCGAGATTACATTTGAAAATTTTACGCTCATTTGTTATGATAGTACCTTGTTGATGTGTGTTGGGCCTCTCTGGTAGAGTTAGAATTTTGATTGCCTATGTTGATACGATAATCTTGTCCTGGCTAAGATTAATAGTTGATTTCTGAAGATTGTGCCTTAACGTGAATGAAATTTTGAGGGATTGTGCATGAAAGTCACTGGGTATGAATTTAATATGTGTTGGGAAAGCTATAATTTTGTTTTCAGGGGTTGCAGTGTTGGATTCAAGAAGATGGGTTGAAACTAGGCACGTTGAGCCATTTGGCGAGTTAAGTCGACCTCGGCAAACTGCTCGGCGTTTCGCCTAACATCCCTATTTCACCGTTATTTTAATGTTATATGTAATGTTAAATTCTGTAACTTTCAGCGAGACGCACAATGTCACCAAACGCATTCGGCACCTCACCGAAAGACTACTTGTTCGCCCTTTGTCTGCACCCTAAATAATCTATGTGCGCTACACTCGACGCACCGCCTAAGTAGCTGAGTGCTTCGCCAAATGGTTTGGCGAAGTAATTCTGAAATCAAACAGCCTTGCTTTTGTCTGAATACTTTCTAACTTTATCTCAAAGCTTTGCAGAAATAGCTACACCGAAAGTAGTTGGAAGAGATATGCCACCCGACAAACAAGAGCGAAAAATTTCAGGAAAAATACAAAGGTGATAGATCCTCTCAAAATAGATAATGAGGGCAATAAACCCAGTGCAAGCAAGAAACAAATCATCGAGACCCCACGATTCCCTCATGGAGACGTGGATTCTTCATAGCTATCCACTCTTTTTTGGCGGCTCATGATTTGGACAAGCTTAGTAAGTCAGCTGTTGTTGAATCATCTTAATAGGCTCGGGGACCATTATCAAATTCCAGAGTGACACATCAAGAATTGATTCCTCGATAGATGGAGAGACTGCATAGACATGATTTCTCTTTACCTCCCTCTCTGTCTTTCTTTATTTTACATTTCGGATTATGTGTTATTTGCATTTGAGGATAAATTATTTTTATTTGTGGTGGGATGAGGCCCACCTTGTGTGTGACTATTATTGTTTGATATTTTGTTGATACATTTGGGTCGGTATGCGTGCGAAGTCATTATATACTATTTCTGTGGACGTTTGAGCTTGTGGCTCCTTTTATTTTAAATTGCAAAATGATTTTGACCCTTTCGAAAAATTTTGAATTTTTCACAAATTTTTGCCACCCCTTATATGCTCGTGTGTTGAATATGGCTATTCCTTGGCATATTTGAGTCTCTATTTCGATCAATATCGATGACTTGAATAGTGCTTACAATCGAATGAACATGAATGTACGGCTATGATGAGGCTAAATGAAGTTGCATAGACAATATGTGAACTATTTACATCTCGTTGCGATTAGCCATTTATCAAATCGATTCTCTTGTGATGCCCGTTGCACACTAGCAAAAGTGTGGAGTCTTGTTTGGCTTAAGTGTCGATGCCTTGTGTGATAAGCTTACCTGGAACCATGCATGACAACACCTAGAATTTACCCTGTTGGTCCCGTTGACTAAGTAAGACTATCTCTTGATATGATCTTAGGCAACTTCGAAGAGTGTGAACCAATTTGACATATACCTATTTTGTGACCTACCTTGTGAGCGTGTAATTCTCTCTTGAACACCCTTTGAGCATTACCCTTCTTTGAAAGAAACTTGATGAAAACTAAACCTTTCTTAATCCATTACCTATAATCCTCTTGAATTGTAGTTAATTGAATAGCCAACTTAGGCCAAAAGCCTAAGTTGGGGGTATGGTGAAAAAGAATAGGGAAAGTCAAGAAGTGCAAGGAAAGTCTCCTTTAACCCATGGTGTTGAGAAAAATGGAACCCTTCCATATATATAAAAAAAAAAAAGAGAAAAAGAGAAGAAAAGAAAAAAAAAAAAAAGTTGTGGAATAAACTACCAAAGAAATAGGTTCCGAACAATCCATGGGAAGCGAATAATAGGATGACCTATGATGCACTAATGAAAATGATGAAGGAAAAAGAAAGGAAGTGTTGAGAGCACCACATTTCAAGAGGATAAAAGTCACTGAGCCTAAATGACCATACCTTTACACTCAGCCCTGTTACAAGCCTTGTTAAGACCTTTGTGATCTTGAGAAAGTCAAAACAAATGTTGATTGGAAAATACGGGTAAACATATGGGTGAAAGCATGCATTGTGTTCATCTTTGTGAGTCTAAGCGTTGTATATAATTCCTGAACTTTAAATTGATTATACCTTTGCGTTTGAAAATTGAATCATCATTTTTGTGAGGGCATTCGAAGGCTTTTGTTGAGCTTGAACTTGCATTTGAAGCAAGTATTGTGAGCTTGAGAATCTTTTGTAATGTGTGTCACAACTTGAATCTTTGAGTACACAATTGATCCTGGCATAAGTAAATTGAGTCTTGTTGTGTACATTCATAATTGAGTCTTGTGTAGCATTGTTTGAGACATCCTTGTTGAACTGCTGAACTTGAGTTTTACTTGAGGACAAGCAAAAGTTTAAGTTTGGGGTGTTGATGAGTCCACAAATTGGACTTACTTAGGGCTATATTTTAATAGAAATTGTGTCCTCAAATGCTTATTTTATCTCAATATCTGATGAAAACCCTTAAGTTTCAGGTATTTGAAGTTTGAAGGAAAAAATGGACACTACATCGCAAAAAGGAACGAAAAGGCTGAAAAGAACGAAAGGAATGAAGGCCTGAGGATCGCTGAGTCCAATTGGCGAGTCGCCGAAGGGTCTTACTTCACCTTTTGTTCCAGTGTGCTGAGCCCTGAAGGAAAGGATCAAGTTGGCGCAAATAGGGAGCAGTCGGCGCATCGCCGAGAAGTTCTACGAAGCAGTACCATGTCGCCCAATGACCCAGAGCACGACGATGTTGAAAGCTGGTGCAAGACGGAGATGAACTACACCAAAGGGCGAATCGCCGAGTTGATCATCAATTTCGACTAACGACGCCGAATGATCCGCTGCAGCACAAATCTGTGAAAACTATAAATACTAGTTAGAGTTGTAGTTTTTAGAGTCAAACAATTATTATAATTTTCATGTAATATAGTACTTTTTGATATTTTTGCTCTAAGTTTGAGAGGGTTTTGAAGACTTGAAGATCCAAAGGGTTTCATCTTTAATATTTGGATTTGGGTCTCTTGGATTCTTCAATTTTGGCATGTATCAAGACTTAAATCGTCATACCTAGTTGAATGCGAACTCAATTTGGTATAAATTTCTATCTCTTATACATGTGTGGCTAAAAACCCCAATTCTTGGGGTGTGATTTAGTGAATATGGGCTAAGATAATTGTTGGGTCTTGCTTGATGATAGTTTAATCGTAGTTTAATTGTGATTTTGTTTAGTAGTTATGGATGAATTTAATGAATTTGTAGTTGCAAATACAAGTTTATTTATGTGTTTTCAGCTTGCTCGAGAGAGAGGTCGCAAAACTAAAACCACTAAATTGATGGTCGGTGGGAGTGGGTCGACATGAGGTTCAGCTCGAGAGAGTGAAACCTAGTCTCATTCCCACACACTCAGCTCGAGAGAGTGAGTGGGTTAAGGCGTAGGTTGGTCTTCATGTGGCAAGTGGGTGTCCGAGAGGAACGAATTTGAAACGGGGTAAGTTGCTCGAGAGAGAGCTTATCCCCCTTAATGTTTAGCCTAGTCACAATTATTCTATGAATCTTCTTTCGAAAGCATGTACCCAATAATCTAGCTTAACCCGTATTCCCGTCACATCCCAAGGATCCCCTCTCATTACTTAGAAATCCTTGTTTATTTTGTTGTTTTTACTTACTTGTGACAAAACTCCCCATTGTTAATTTACACTCTTGTGTCCCCCTTTAATTTACAATATTTTTAATTGTTAATTTCTTTAGTTACGACTAGTTAGAACTAAATTTTGTTTTTCTATTAATTCTCAAAACCACTCCCTTGGGAACGATCCCAACCCTTGGTTGGGTTACTAAACTATTGTACGATCGTAGACACTTGCATCGGAAGTTGTGTCTTGATTACGTAAACATCAGTGAGCTGGGAGTTTCTTGAGGAAATCCTAGGTGGTTTTGGGTTTCCTGAACAATTCATCAAATGGATCATGTTGGGAGTTACTACTGCATTGTTTTCAACAAAGTGAATGGAGAGAACCATGGTTTTTTTCTGGAAATAGAGGACTAACACAAGGAGACCTTGCATCTCCATTGCTATTTGTATTAGTCATGGAATACTTGTCAAGAACACTTCAGACTATGAGTGGGTTGCCTGACTTCAGATTTCATCCAATGTGTAAGAAGCTGCAACTCACCCACTTAATTTTTGTTGATGATATCATGATATTCTGCAAGGGGAATGTGGCTTCAGTGAGTAGATTAATGGAAGCATTAGCACACTTTAATGTTGCTACTGGTTTGGAGGCAAACTTAGACAAATCAAGTATATTCTTGGCTGGAGTTGATGAGGACACAAAAAGGAAAATTCTGACTAGAACTCGATTCTCAGTTGGTATATTCCCAATCAAGTACCTTGGCCTACCTCTTTCACCAAAGAAATGGACAAAAACTGACATATTATTCTCTAATTGACAAGCTTACTCAAAGAATCATTGTAACTTACTCAAAGCAGATCTCCTATGCTGGTAGGCTACAAGTGTTTAATGTTGTACTATTTTCATTCCATAGTTTCTGGGGGGCAGCGTTGATATTACCCCAAAGCATTCTCAAGAAAAGGGGCGGTAGCTACTGGAATATTGCCTCAGTGGGTCAATTGATATGGCAAATCATAGAAAATAAGGAGTCATTGTGGGTTCAATTGGTCCATGGAATATATATAAAGGATGATGCTTCTATATGGACTCACAAGGCACCATTAGACTGCAGGTGGTACTGGAAGAAAATAAATGCAATCAAATGTAGGGCTGGTACATACAAGACAAATACAAGTTGACACAATCTGCTATCTATTCTATCACCAAAAGTTACTTAGCAATAATAGGCCACAAACTACATGGGTGTTTTAATGTTCATGATTAGGATTGGCCTGAAATTCCCCCCTTGGGAGGTGTAGTGAGCTTGAGAGGTTTAGTCCCGGTTTTGTAGGCTCATATGAGGTCTTGAGTGGTGTTGGTAAGGGTGCTTGTGAGCTTGAGTGCCTAAATGATAATATCTCTAGTTTAGAAGTTCCGGTAGCGGTCTTAGACCGGCAAGTTAAGAAATAGAAGAGTGAGGAAATTGTTTTCATGAAGGTGTGAAGGAGTGGTATTTTGTGTGAAGGTTGTAGGTGAGGGTGCTACTTGGGAGGCCAAGGGCCAAAGATATGTCCCGATATCCTTATCTTTCCTTCTATTCCTCCTTTAGACTGAAATGATAAGTTTCCCTTGACTTGTTTCTTGATTGTGAAGTCTTGGATGTTGTTGGTAGTTCCTCTAAAATTTCCTTGTTTTGGATATCATGTGTGAATTATATGCTTTCCATGGTTTCCTTAAATGCGCATGTTCTTGATGAAATTCATGTTTAATAAGAAAATGAGTTTTCATGATTTATGTTCCTCATGGTGTTGTGCATTTGGTATGAGTTGCCTATTTGACTTCGTGAGATGTGTTAATGAACATGCTTTAGTATGCTTTTGAGAGTAATCGCATATTGTCTCCATGATGTTGTGTTGATAATTATTTTAGTTGGAGAAGTTAGTTCCTCCTATGCAAATGAGAAATATTGACTTTCGTGCATATTGGGTTGTTACAAGTAGTTCCTACTCTCTTGTATTGCATTGATAATGTTTTGAGATGGGATTGATGTTTTCTCCTTTAAATGATACATTGCTTTGATGTTTCATGCATGATGGGATGCTAGTCTTGAGTCTATAATTTCGAATAGTGTTTAGAAGTGTCATTCGAGGACGAATGCATGTCCCCAAGGGGGAGATATTGTTACGCCCCTAAAACTAGTAGGTGAAACTAGAGCCTTACGTGTGAGTTTTAGAGTTTGGTATGCGGGCTAATGTTGTAAAATGGCTTCCCGTACCTAGTATGAGGTGTTTAGGGGTTAAACGTCAAGGTACGACCCCCTAAGGACCAACCAAGGGGTCCTTGGGGAGGACCCGAAAGTCTAACCCCAAACTGCCCCAGAACTACCTATTTGTGTGACCAACGGATGGGACCTATTAAGTGTAGGTCCATCCACACCCCGTGGAACCAAGTCGTGGGTCAAGAGCCATGTTGAGGAGCTGCAGACCCCAACCCACGAGTGACCAGTACGGTCCATGGGTCCATCCATGCCCCGTGGGTAGGGGGTCGTGGATGGGGCCTGCAAAGCTGCCTCAAAGTCGGCCAAGGTAAGTTAGTTTTAGGAAATTCCCAATTTAATTATTTTAGTGTAGGGTCATTTTAATTCATTTTAATAGACTTATATAAGTATTTTTAAACCATTAACTAACCTATTTACTTCATAATTACCAAGACCCAAATCATAACTAACTTTACCCCTAAATATTTCTCTCACTAAGAACCTCCATTGAAGAAGAAGAAGTCAAGGTCTAGGGCTCAAGAACTCAAATTTTCCATTGAAATTTGTGAAGAATCTTCAACTAAGGTATGGTAGTTTTGATTCATGGTTAACTTTCCATCCATAAAGTCCTTAAACTCTCAATTTCAAAGTAGAAAATTCTCCAAAACCTAGGGCTTTCACTCCAAGTCATTGATTCTTTCTTAAAAAACGTTTTCAATGATTTAATTGCTTTATATTATGATCAAATTGATGAATTACCACTGTTTTAAGATGAATTATTCATGGATGCATGATTTTTCTAATTTTCCTAAAGTGGATCTTAAAGCGTGGGTATTATTATATGTTGATACAATTGAATGAATAATGGTTCTTTATGGTGTAATTACATGATTTTAGTATTATTATACATGTATTATTGATTAACTTAAGGTATTAGGGTGAAATTGATATAGTTTGGTTTATGCCATGGAAGAGGCAATTGAGAGCTTAGATGTAACTTTCTAAGATTGATGAACCACTTTGTGAACTACTTGAGATTAGAGGAACTAAAGATGAATTACTTAAAAGTAAAACTTGTAAACATTAATTAATTAGATTAGGGCTTATGTGACGGATTTTAGTGGTATTGAGATCGAGTTTGTATGATGTTTTATGGCTATAATTGGTTAAGAATGAGGCATGTGATTAGATTATCTTGACAATTAGGTATACATAATGACCATGTGAGGTATTTTTGAGAGTAAGGCTTGTAGTATGAAGATGACTTCTAGGGGTTAATGGTAAAAGCTAATATAAATGAGCTAATGATGTAAAGGCTTTAAGAGGGAAGCTATTGTGTGTGTTGAATTTTATGTGGTTTTATTGTGGAAGGACTCCACCAACATGACCTATATTATAAGTGTTTGAGATCATGCATTTTGTAACTTAAACTATGATTATATCCATGTCTAATAAGATGAATGCTAGATGTGTTGATTGAATATGGTCTTTGGTCCTTAAAGGGGAAATATATCATATTGTACATGCTTGTGAAAGTGTGTTCATGATTAAAACCATCTTTTGAGAAAGTAAAGTGATCATGACTTTGATGTAATTGCAGTGTGGTTGAAAGTCTATTCTCACTCACACACTTATACATGATTATTCCATGATTATGATGATATTATTGTGTTGATTGAAAGTTCATTCTCATAAACACATAATGAGTATAATGTGAAAGTTTTCCTCACATATTGAAGATTCTAGGTTGAAAGTTAGTTCTCACCTAATTGAATCTATCATGAAGATTCTACGTTGAAAGTCCATTCTCACCTAATGAATATATGAGCTATCTTTATGAATTGTGTTGGATGGAGGGTAAGATAATCCTTCATGCTTGTAAATTCAATTCAAGACTAAACATGTATTCATGGGAAGTTATGCCTAGCACCGAGTGAATATTGAATATGAGATAGAGGCTCTCCCATCAAATAAATAGGTCGGGTCTCTAAATGTAAATCTCATGAGATGGAAGCTCCCCTGTTAAGTAAAGTTGGGTTTCTAGTAGCAATCTCCTTATCCCATAACTACGTGCCTTCGTAGGTTATTTAGCCATTGGATTCATTTCCAAGCTAATAAATTTTAGTTCTACCTTAGTCAAGTAGGACACCTTTTTTCGGTGTGGTGCATGACACTGAATTCCATGCAAGCTCACATGGTCTATGTTGGTTAAGGCTAATTCCCACAAGGTCAAGTCTAGGATTTACTATAGTTATTCAAGGTGTTCTACTTAGTATGAGTGGTTATATGGGACTTCATCCATGCATTGCACAAGAAGGATTTGAGAGTAGTTAAGGTAGGTTCCTATTTGTCAAGATGACTCATGTAATGAATGTGCTTGTGTTTAAATGGTAGTTGCATTTGATGTTAAGGCTACTTGTAATGTTGCATGTTAACTTGGATTGTTGATATGAGTTTATTTCAATGATGTGGTTGACTAAAAGTGAATGTTTCCTAGTCTAGGAGAGATAGGCTAAGGATGAGAGTAAACGAGGGTAAACATTAATGAGGATCTAAAGTGACTTGCTTAGTGTACGTGGGATTATGGGATCTTACCTATGCATTGCACAAGCTTGCCTTGAGGTAGCTCATGAAGTATTGCTCACATGACATTTTAACACTAGATTGTATTGACTATGCATATGTTCCTAATGATATTTCTTATGTTCACAAGTTGTGATTGATGTCTACCATGCTATAGTATATATCTCTTCATGATGTCTTTTATGCTTATGATTGTGTTTCCACACTATTTTCCAAATAATGGTTTAAACTAGTAAAGTGCATGCACTCAACTAAAATGTCCCTTTTAGCATGTTTTCAAAGGTTTTCATGCATGGCTATCATACTTAGTACATTTTTGTGCTAACATATATTTCTTTCACATATTTACAAAGTGTAGGGTTTGGAGACTTGAGTTCTATTCTTGGAAGATGGGTTTCTAAGGAGCAAGGAGTTGAAGACTTGGTGAGTCCTCATAGCTTCGAGGACAAACCCACTACTTCCTTTATGTCTTTTATTTTATTTTTAGAGCTTTAGTATGGGTTATGTCCCAAAGTGTATTCGAGTCTTGTAGATGGTTTGAGACATTGTGTCATAGACTCCCGCTCATTTTTATAAAAGACTTTGATTGTAGAAGAAAAGTTTTAAATTTTTGCAAAATTTCCTATGTTCTTATGTTATGATATGCTAAGAGGCTTGTATAAGGCTCTTCGGAGTTTTGTACGTCGTGTTACGTCTAGGGGGGTACTCTCGGGTCATAACAGTGACATACCAATTCTAGGGAGAGGCTAAAATGTGGTGGCAGTCTCATGTTGAGTGTTGACCAACAAAGGCACTACCTATAACTTGGGCAACATTTTCCACCTTCTTCATGGAGAAGTACATACCCCGGACTTTGAGGGACAGGAGCAGAGATTCTGAATATTGAGCAAGGGAAGATGTATGTTGTATCTTATCAGGCAAAAATTTGTACTTTATCCAGGTATGCCACTCAACTTTGCTTTAGTCCACAAGAGAGGATTCACCTCTTTATAAAGGGA